GGCCACTCACGTCTCCGCCAGTTCTCCGCCACTTCGATCCCAATGCACACACTGAAATTCACACGGATGCAAGGGTGTCGGCCTCGGTGCCATTCTCGCTCAATGCAAGGATGGCTGCGACGAGTACGTTGTCGCCTATGCCAGCCGTACACTAACGAAGGCAGAGTCCAACTATTCCGTCACGGAAAAGGAGTGCTTGGTTATCATATGGGCTATAGAAAAATTTCGCACCTACCTTTACGGACGCCAGTTCGATGTTGTCACAGATCACCATGCCTTATGCTGGTTAGCGTCCATGAAAGATCCTACTGGCCGCCTCGCTCGTTGGTCTTTACGCCTTCAGGAATACGATATCCGTGTTGTTTATCGCTCAGGACGCAGACATTCAGACGCCGATGCACTATCCCGTTCTCCACTGCCTCCTGACCTTGCCTGCTTATCAACTGCCATTCGCGATTCGTCATCGTTGAGCATCACTGACATGCCATCCGAACAGCGCAAGGATCCCTGGATCAATTCTTTGCTCGACGTCCTCTCTCACAGTTCGTCAGAAACGACTTCACGCTCCCTCTCTCGTCAAGCAAGACACTTTGCTGTCCGTGAAAGCTTGTTGTATCGCCGCAATTACGTGACGGACGGCCGTAGGTGGCTCCTTGTCATCCCTCGTCATTTGCGTTCGGACATCTGCGCTGCCTTTCACGATGACCCTCAGTGTGGACAAGCCGGAGTATTTAAGACTTACTCTCGCCTTCGTCTAAGATACTACTGGCGCGGCATGTATCGGCACGTTCGCTAGTACGTTCGGTCATGCACCACGTGTCAACGACGCAAGGCGCTTTCTCAAAGCACTGCTGGCCCTTTGCAACCCTTAACCTGCCCAGCGAGACCATTCGACCGCGTCGGAATTGATATTTATGGTCCTCTACCCAACTCTCTTCGAGGCAACGGGTGGATTATCGTCGCCGTGGATCATTTGACACGCTACGCTGAAACATCTGCACTGCCCGCTACCACTGCGAAAGACGTTGCGTCCTTTCTTCTTCACCATCTCATTTTGCGACACGGTGCACCTCGTGAATTACTGAGTGACCGTGGATGCGTGTTTCTCTCGAACGCCGTCGACGAGCTACTCAAGGCATGTCGCACTGTTCATCGGAAATCCTCGGCATACCATCCTCAAACCAATGGCATGACGGAACGCTTTAATCGTACCCTTGGAGATATGCTTGCCATGTACGCCTCTGACGACCACACTAATTGGGACCAAGTGCTCCCTTTTGTCACGTACGTGTACAACGCCAATAACAAGTAAATCAAACTCCAGTCACGCCCACATGAACAGCCACAAAAAGCATCGTTATTATTCTGAGAGTCCCAAAAAGCGAGCTGTTTACATGGAAGGGACTGGAATTTCGTATACATGTTGGTTTTTATAGATTCAGAGTGCTTGCCTTCTGATGTCATGTCTGTTGTGGTCACATGGGTGACAAGTTCATCATCATCATTCCTTTTTTCTTTAAAGGCCCCTGTTGGGGTATTACATAAGGGGGTGGGGAGGTAACATAGAAAGTTAGACGTAACTTTTCATGTCACAAATTCGGAACACATTTCTAGAAAAAATAGAGATCTTTGCAGTACTAAATATGTGTGCATGTATTTTCAAACAAAATATATGCGTTGCGAGTTGAGCGTTATAGTTTCTCCTATTTTCTTTTGCCCATGCCATATTTCACACTGATATCAAGATGTTTAAGAGCTATTACCAACTAGCCTAGCTGTCATCTTTTTCATAAATTCTCTAATTGGCTTGAAAATACCAACACACTGTTCTAGTTTACGGCGTATTTAGTAAGCTTGTGTGGTACAAGTGGCACATTTGCATATTCAGCAAAAAAGAATTAGTTATTTTTGTTACATACTTTTAATCAAGAAGTTAGGCTTTGATGCTACTCTTTCGTTGGTATGCTGGTATGCTAAGCTTTGTTATAAGCAGAAGACAGCCATGAGATAATGTAACGCAGTCACTCTGGCTTGCTAACCCATACATAGTGTGTATGAACACATTCAGTAGATAATAGTAATATGTACAGACATATAGTACAGTGGAAGAATATATGTCTTATTCATAACAATTCGACATTCTCTCTTCTGTGGCACGTTTCAAGAGCTTCACCTTTTGCATTAGTAGTACATTTATGATGTGCCAAGCCTGTATGCAATTTGGAGTGTGTTAGTATAATGCAACACTACTTCTCTTGTACACAAAAGGTCAATTTGTTCACTCTGGTGTCCAGATTCTGAATACATTTAAAGGAGAGCAAAGTCGTGCATCTGGCACCCTTGGGCTGTCCATCATTTTGCAAGACCAGAGCTCTACCAGCACGTAGGAACAGTGTCGTTTCGCTGGCTATCAAAATTCTAGAGATTCAGCTAACCATGTGTATATTGCACTACATTGTTTTTTGCTAATACACAAGTGCATGTTTAAATCCTGTGAAATCCATAAGGTAGGTGTGTCACCCTGTTGCTACTAGTTATTCCTTACAAAAAAGCACACTTTAAGTTCTTGCTGACCAACTTGCTCACTAACGTTTACAAACTGCAGTGTGTGGCAGTTGATAATGAGAAGGAGCACTTCAGCTGAACAAAGCGTACTTGCTGTTGATACTGAGGACATTAAGAAACTTCATTTCCAAACTGCAACCTGTTTTCATCTGAATCCAAGCACCAGAAGCAACGAGGTGTTAGGTGTAAGGAGATGATTTATACTCCAACCAAAAGTTTTGAAGAAACCTGGTGTTTCGAAACCACTTGGTTCCTTCCTCAGGGGTGACTGTGGAGACTACATAGCAGCGGCGTCTTCAAAGCACTCGCGGGGCGGATAATGACCCCCCTCTCTCTCGTTTTGCTGTGGAGTGCAGTCCATGTGTATACACTAGGCGAAGGGTTCCGAGAGAGTTGTTGATGTCTCATTACCCGTCCCGCAAGTGCTTTGAAGATTCCGCTGCTACGTAGTCTTCGCAGTCACCCCCGAGGAAGGAACCAAGTCGGTTTCGAAACGTCGGGTTTCTTCAAAACTTTTGGTTGGAGTCTAAATTATCTCCCAGTTTCATACCCCACCAGACAGACTTTCTGTCGAATGTTTACATTCAGGTGTTAGATGTAATACGGAGGGGTCCACATAGTATACTGGAGTTCAACTGCTAGCTGCTTGTACTCTTACACTGGTTGAGGACATCCATGACAGCCACTGAGGAAGAGCACCAATTGGTTGTGCATGAGCAGAGAGAAAAGAGACGTCCCCGACAGGGGTGCGCAGAAGAAGCAACTGGTCCACTCAAGCACTTGTCCCTCCCCTTCAGCACTTGCCATACAACACAGTTTCGCACGGTGTAAGGCAAAATATTGTCAACGCCCATGAATAGATGCACCTCTGTTGGTCAGCCACCCTTCGTTAATGTTCTTTCGTAATAAAGCATAGATTGCTCACATTAGTCGGCCACCTTAGCCTCATTGTTCTGATGGAACAATATTCATCAAAAAATAAATCGGGAGCACAAGGCTAGGATTTTTTTTATATTGTCAATGCGTTCAAGAATTGTGCATGTTGTAGTTCCCACACGCCACGGCGACGTAGTGTTTATGATGCTGACTGCTGACTCGAAATTTGTGGGATCAAATCACGGCAGTGGCAGCTACATTGTCATAGAGGCACAATGGTAGAAGCCTGTGTGCTTAGATTTAGATGCACATTTAAAGAAACCCCGGGTAGTCGAAACTTCCAGAGCCTGCCACTTATCTCAGGTTTTTCAAATGTAAAACCCAAGCATTTACCTATTAATACAGTTAAAGCTCTTTATAAGAGGCATGCTCCAAGCAGCAATTCTTGTCTTTTATATGAGATGTTTCGTATAAGCGGGGTATGTTGTATGCATTTTCTTATCAACCCGCACTTGGCTGTAGGCACTTTGGTGTCTCTTATAACCATTTGTCTTTTATATCAGTGTCTCTTATGAAGGAGTTTGACTGTATTGTCATAATACCCCAGCATGGTCAGCCAAGCCTTATGGTTTCAACGACAAAGCTGTTTAGGCTGACTCTAAAAATTTTATAGTGTGAAAATAGGTGTGTACAAGAAACTAAAATGGATGTGGGCCGCAGAAATAGGGCAATTCCCACACTAAACATTGGTCCCCTGGAACAAAGGGGCCGCCAACACCAACGAAGATTTCTGGCAAAAGGTTGCGCAGGCAAAAGCTTCATGGGGCAGGCAAAGGTTCATTGTGGCACCGCTCCATATTCAGTGAATGTAAGGAGATCGTTTTGTGCCCCTCCCCATGCACATACCCAGTAAAAAAGAAAAGCTTTAATAAACTGCTGGCATTAACCAAGTGATAATCATCGTGACTACATGTTCAGCTTCGATGAAGTGCCTGTACTTCTGTACAGATGCTTCTCTGAAGCAAATGGCTGCTTCAGCGGTACGTACGAGAGGATACTCGAATTGGGATAGGCAATGGCGGCTGCGAGAACGCCCTGAAGTGGTGGTAGCCCTACATCAATGACGATGTGACCGTACATTTATGGGAGGTGCGAGTGCTTGGTTTCTGTCTCTGAATTTTAGAGATTCGAGTCAATTGTACCTGTGGTTTACTTCGAACCTCCTTGCACTGAGAATCAACCTAGTAACAACATAACACCACCTAGCTAAAGCCTAGCAACAGCCTAGAAGCAACCGTATAAGACTTCAGGATCGTCCAGCTTCACTCTTTGAAGCACTGCAGGACTTAGTGCCAGCTTTGTATTCTTTAACCTTTTCACAAGAGATACATTGACTTACTTCAGCTTTTTATTCTTTAACCTTTTCACAAGAGATACATTGACTTACTTGTTTTATTAAGAATAATAATAGTGATAATGACAGTGAAGTATATTGCGGATGCACGTCGACGTTGTTGTCACTGACATGGTGTGTAGATAATTGCATATGTGTGCTGCAGGTGGGTGGGCCGTCGGTGTGTGTAGCCCTCTATGCTCAGCTGGGCCCCGAGCAGCTGGTCAGTGTGTGCCAGCCGAACCGTGATGGGGCCTGCCTCGCCGAGCTCACCCTGCCGGCTGCATGGTGGCCGCCCTTGTGGGCTGCCGCTCATAAGGCCCACCGGCCCACCATCGCCCTCCGGTCAGTCATCATTTGCGTTTTACACATTTCCCACTGAGAAACTAAGTGCAGGTTGTTGACTCAATGTGTTCCATCAATTTGCCATGCTTGCGCTGCTTAATCGATGCGTTTCGTCACACTGGAGCACTCTGACGGGGCATGTCGCCTTTGGTCACACAAAAAGGCCCCACAGTTCACCTCAACATGCCCCGAGCGTCATCTTTCTCCATTATGGAATGTGACGGGAGGCCCGAGTAAATTCCAGTCATGTGGCTGTTCTAGAAGGTAGCTGTGGGAGAAGCCGATCAATTTGCTTAGCTAGGCTTTTTCATGCATAAGTCTCGAGACGTGCTGGAGCATTACCACATCAGATCATTGCAGCATCAGGTCATGCTCCACCACAGATGAGGTCGAGTAGCACTGCGGTAAAAACTGCTTCAACGTGCCACGTGGGTGCATTCCCGTGGCTTTTCGTCAGTGCTGAAGTCCCACTTGTCTGGTATTCCCACTTCAAATGACCAGCCTCAAGTAAGCAAACTTCTTTGAGCCTATTGTTCATGGGGCACTCAAGCAGCTTAAGCTGTGAAGTCTGTGAGATTAAAAGCAAAAGCGAAAAAAATTGCTATGAAAGCAGTAAGAGCGCGAGGTTTGGGTGAGGTACTAACATCTTTGAACATCTTTGTTCTGAGAAACAGTGCAGTTCCTTACATGTGTATTGGATGGATTAACTGGTGATTTCTGCCTAAAATCCGTACATCTTTCAACCGTGTCTTACAGCTTATATAAGCTAAACCAAGATTTTATATAAAAAGACATTTTTTTAAAGAATTACTCATAAAATGATAACAGCAAATAACCTGCATCACATGTTCAACTTTTCCCTTCTGCTTTTATGACTAGCATGTTGCGTTTACATGAAGGGAGAAATTCTCATGGCACATTTTGAAAATTGCACATTGCTTCAACATTTTTTACAAAGAATTTCGTTAACTGGTTTTCCATAGTAGTGAGGAACTACCAGGGTTATCAATAAACAACTTGTTGCAATAACGCCGAAATTAACTGTACAGCTCGTATGCAGCGAATGATTTCGTTTGCAAGAACTGGCTAGTATTTCATTCTTTTGCTCTCACAACCTCGCATAGTTTACGTAGCTGTGAAAGGGTAACTATTGACATGCGGTATGCATAACATTAAGGAGGTCACTATCTTGTGATACAAAAAGACTTTAGAAACTGAAAAATTAATTGCAAGTAAACATGAAGGTCCTTATACTTATTGCGCAAGAAAATTTTCCATTCAGAGTAGTGTCTGCTGAAAAGTAGCGCTGGTTCTGGAGTGAGTTTCTGACCAACAACGTTCAGTGGTGCACCAAATTGCCCAAATGGTAAAGCACATAAGCGAAAATGCAAGTAGACTCCTCAAGTTCATTGCATTGCATGCTCACGCGAGCAATCACATGCAGTTCTAGCAATTCTAATGCCACACATGTCTTCGTGTCTGCTAAACTTAAAATTAGTGTCTTGGCTCATTTTTGTGCTAGCATAGGATGATCATCAGTCTGTGCAATTAAGGTGTCATATAAAAAAATTGGCCCCGTATCTGCATGTCCGACTGCAAATGTCATCTGGAGAGAGTGAATAGAATAAACCATTTATTTGATGTTTCGCGTGTGAAAATCGGTGAATAGGATTCTGGAGGCACTGCGTAAGACATGAGCGCCATCGATCGGTAATCTTGGAAAACAAAACTTGGAGGCTACCTTTTGCAGATTCAAAGTAGGTGGCAGCACCATATCGTCTTAGCAAAGCGCAGGAAACTTATTCCTGCATAGCGTTGCATTGTCAGCGCAGCGTAATAAATGCTACAGTTCTTAGCATTATTTATGTATGCCTGTCCTAGTATAGAGAAACACGCTGCTGAGTATCGGCGTGTTGACGTTAGATATGTGCAACATTTGCTTTTAAATCGACCATCGCACATGTTTTAATGTAGAAATCTGGGCAATGTTGGCGGGTGCTGCAAATGTGGTCCTACTTGCACTGTCTTGCTTGACAAACACACAAACGAACAGACAGACGAACAAAAATTTTTGCATTGAAGTATTCTAAGAAAGACTATCGTCTTTAGAAAAGAAGAGTGCGAATAGGACATACATGAGCCAAAACCATATCAGTTTCTTTTCATCTTTTTTTTAACATTGTGTCTAAATGTCCTGTTTATATTTTTGCATGGCTTTCGGTCTCGTTCATGCTTATTCTCACAGTGAAAACGTCATATTCCATATTCCCAGGTCAGAATTGTGCTTTCATGTGACTGGAGCATGCGCGAAAATTCGTCTCCTTACTCTAATTTTTCTTTTGCCTAGGTACGCCCTCGTACGAAGCAGCATCTCCCAGGAATGCCAGGGTCAATCTCTGCGACTGTCAACGGGGTCAGTGCCCAGTAGCGGGGCGGGCCTATCCCTGGGGCGGCTTCCACTGTCCGTGGCACATGGCAGCTACGAGGAACTGAGTGGTGGTGATGGTGTTGTATGTCTGCTAGTGCCCCAGGGGCCGGTCTACCCGCGGTCCAAGGTGTACGTGCCACTACTCGTACGCCCCAATCCGGCCTACCCACTCCACTCCTTCACGATTAGGTGGGCAAACCGAATGCTCTCTCTCTCTCCATAATACAAGACAGTAATGAAACACGCACCTTTTTTTGAAACCTGAGTGACATACAGTAGAATCTCGTTATAACGAAGCGGGATCTAACGAACTAATGGATATAACGAAGCAATTGTAATTCCCCTTGAAATTCCCATAGACGCCCATGTATTTAAAACCTCGTTTTAACGAAGCGAAAATTTCCTCACAATGGATATAACGAACCATTCTTTGACCACAACGAGCATTTACTGATCATTTTGGTATACGTGAATTCAATATCTTATAGCGCGCGCCGGTTCACGTCCCATCACGGCAGTGGTAATTCAAAACTCGCGCCTTGCGCCGCCTGCCAACACGCGCGTGGGTGCACGTCGCCCTGCCTCCCCTTTCCTCAGGAACTAATGGACTCGCCCGCGCAGCAACTCGCGCGAGCGTGCGCGTCAGCCGACCTCCCCTCTGAGGGTGCCGCAGGCGACCAGGCCCAGACATCGTGGGACGCTCTCCTTGACGCCGGCGTTGTGCCTGACTGCGACACTTTCTGCATGTACGTCGGTGCCGATGCTGACGCGGTGACAACCGAAGAGTTGTCAGATGCGGAAATTGTGCGCGCGGTGACGGGGGTGCATAATGATGACAGTGACGAATGTGTTGACACCCCGGAGCCTAACGAACCTGACGTACCGACGCCCGCGCAAGCGCTGGATGCGACAGACCTGCTGCGCCGCTTCTTTGGTGCTCATGATGACGGTGAGGACGGACTTGAAATAGCGGCTGCCGCTGAAAGAGCAGTCATCCGCTTGAAGAAGAGTCGGCAAAAGTCTATCAAGGACTATTTTTCTTCGAAGTGATCTGCCAGCTGGTGTGCTGAACTTGGCAGAAATAAAGTGCATTGTTCTTTATTATTTTGCTAGTTTTTTGCCTTCCGACGGCCGTTTTTCTCTGCGCGGCGGGCTGCTGTGATATTCGGTGGTGAGTACATTCTCTCTTGCTGGCTAATTGTCGGTAGAAATGGATATTGGCTATAACGAACTAATGGTTATAACGAAGTAATTACGACTCCCCCTTCAACTTCGTTATAACGAGGTTTGACTGTATTGTATTAGGTTCAGTGGCTTGACAAGAATGTAGTTGCCAAGTGGGGGTTTGTACCTGACATTGATTGTCATTGTGTCTGAATAAACAGGAGTTGGAGAGAGCAAACTTACAAGAATATCACATTTTCTTGCATATAACCTGCACGAAACATACAGAAAGTTCGTGACGAAACAAGCGCCAATATGTACAAAGATTTAGAAAGGACCAGAAGGGACACAGGATGGAGTGCCTACTAGCAATTGAAAATTTTTATTTCGAAAATAAAAATTTTTCATTTCGAAAAGAACTGGCTAACCTCCCTGTCCTTCCTCTTTCATTCCTCCTTCTCCTTTATTTTGAAAAGAACACTCCTATATATGCATAACATGTATGCAAGTCACCACAAACCACCTCCATTATCACAAATAGCATGAATCAACGAAAGGCCCCTCCCATAGCCAATATGGCATACATCTGAAAAAAACGTGTTAAAGCACCACGAGCCTCCTCTCCCCTAAAAAAAAAAACGAGAAGTGCACCGAGTCATGTTATGTTCGAAAAGGAAAAATACATGATCTGAACAGATGCCTGGCTGGTGCACTTGTTACCTCCTTTCTTAATTCCAAACACTTCCTTTATGCTTCTTGTCGACCGCTTCTTGTGCTTGTCATTTATTTCTGTGTCAGTAAGTTTTGGTTGGCAAGTGCACTCCTTGCAGTGCATCGCTAACTGCGAGTATGGGGCCCCCTTTAGTGAACTCTCATGTTCACGGAGTTGCACATTTAGGCAAGGACCTGTTTGACTGACGTATTTCTTTCCACATGTGAAAAGAATTCCACACACGAGATCTTCTTTTGCACTCATCGTACCTCCGACCTTGTTTTATGTAACATCCATCCGCTTTCTTCATGTTTTTTTCTTTTTGGCTAACGTTTCTACTGCCAAGCAAATGTTCGCAAATTTGTTTTTGGCTGAAAAAAGCAACCCACACCCCATACCTTAATGCAACTTTTTTCTACTGATGTGAAATGTTATGCAGATTAGGGATTACCACCGTCCGCTCTTTTTAACCCTCAACTTGTCTGTACCCTTCTTATGGGCTGCTTATTGTTTTCTTCACTTCTCAGCGATTCTTTTCACCAGCCAATAGCAGACATTCATCTGGATAACCAGCTCCCCTTAAGCACTCAATATGCGTGGAAACGCTCTCATTCATGGAATATACGGACAATTTCGTGAGGGCGGCTTTGATGCACGAAGTTGCGATCGCATTCCTTACTGTCTTCGAATGTGCCGAATGGTAGCTTGGCAAAGGTTATTTGGAACTGGGGTGATACCTCGATTATGCGTGAAAAAGACGCAACTTAATTTCTAGGTCAACAAACCGAATACATTGTTCTTTTAGCAATTCAAAGGCATACACTAGGCCGCACCCATTTTTCTTAAAAGTTTTCAAAATATTTACTAATGTGCTCGTACCCGAATTGTCTTGGAGGAGAGGGGGGCTGAAGGCGAATTTTTCCGGTTGTATGCCATCGGTTATGGGAGTGGTCTTTCGTTGATTCACGCTGTTCGTGATAACAGGGGTGGTTTGTGGTGATGTGCATGTGCATTATACTTATATAAGAGTGTTCTTTCCGAAATAAAAATTTTTAGTTACTATTAAGCACTTTGTCCTGTGACTTTCCTAAGTCTTTGTACATATTGGCGCTTGTTTCATCATGAAATTATAGCAACAAGCTTAACTGGCAGTCATTCCAGATACAGAAAGTTCAGTGTTATGGCCAGAGAGTGGGTTATATGCAAGCAACAAGAGTTTGGGCATGCAAGCAACAAGAGCACTAATATGGGTGTTATCTTGACAGGGCAAAAGTCAAACCTGGGCTGAGGATTCTTCAGGTGCAACCAACAGCAAAGCAGTCATGGAACGTTGCAGTGGACACCAACTCTAAGCAGACGTCTGCAACTGTGACTGTCACTCGCCTCAGCGAGGACACTGCCCTGCCCGAAAGGTCTGAAGATTGTCAAGAAAATGATTCATGTTGTAGTCCTTAGGTGTCACTTATAACTCTTGTGGACACCGTAATTATATGAAGACCAGTGAGTTCGATTAGTACGAACCCTCCAAGTTGCTTGGACGTTTTCGTATGGCATGAAGAATACCTTATAATTAGTGTCTTGCGCATTGGCAGACTTGTGCTCTTACCGTTCGCTTTGCCTAGCATTAACTTTTGTTTCTTTGAACCCCCAGCCCACACGATATGGCCAAAACAACAGAGTTTTAGTTTTCGGAATTTTCTTTTGAAAGAACATTCAGGATGGACCTTTTTTTATGTGCTTACATGAAAGACGCTGATTGGGTGCTTATCATGGCAGTCGCGTTTTGATGGAAGTCAAACGCTAGAGCCCCAATTACTGTGTGATGTCTGTGCACGTCTGAGCACCCCAGGTGGTCCAAATTGTTTGTAGCCATTAACTACGGCGTCTCTCAAAGCGCAAGTTGTTTTGGCACGTTTAACCCCACAAACTGAACCTTAAACCAACCTGATCTCACTTATAGCTTAAAAAGAAAAAAGACGAGTTGACACTACACGTGTAAAGACTAAAGAGAACATGAAACGGTAAGTCTTGTCAGTGTATAAGCTAGCGTATCATCAAATCATTCACACCACAAGTTTAGTGACACGCGATGTAACAGGTACGTTACGGACAATTCTATCTACACCCTCCTTTTCATCCTTGCCTTGCCTGAACTCATGAGACATGTTGGCATCGCTGGCCATCGCAGCGCTCTCATGAGTGCGCTCGAAGGTTTGAGCTTCACCTAGTCAGCGCCTCCGATATTGCACACTGACTGGTTGTGGGCAATCTCAGAGGCCATAGAGAAGTGTGCCCGGCAGCACACACGCCGTCTGGCAACAGCAATGAGATCGCAAAGAGGTTGATATCTGTTCCAACAGGTGCCGCAGCACTACGAGCTGACCTTATTCTATTCTCCTGTACGGTGACGAGCTGAGCTGCTAAGGCATGCGAACCCAAACACATTCGAAAACAATCACCGGTAGTCATAAACTCGGGCAATGTTGATGTGTCTTGAGAGATGAAGTTACAGCGGTAGATTCATGGATCTTAGCATTGATCGCACAGCGATAGTACGACAATCACTGCAGCAATGAGCTGAAGTGATTCCGCTCGCCAGATTCCTCAAAAATATTACACGTCACAGCTTTAAAAGTCATTGATCGCTAGAGATGTACACAGCTAGGTCAATTTCTTGTGTCCAAGAAAAGAAACTTCTAGACGAATACTAACGCTCAGTTCACATCAACATAGAGCATATTGTACACAAGCAGACGGTGCTCGCTGCCAAGAAGAGGTTCTGTGACATAGACTGAGATATCCTATAAGATCAGTGACCGGTTGCTACTGGTACTGGAACTAGGTGTGAAAGGCACGAGAAGTTGAAAACTCATTTGGCTGAGCCACTGCAACCTGCAGTGATTTACATGTTTAAAATCTTGTAATAAAGTGCACAGTTGATGCAGAGACATCAAATTATTTTTAGGACTTGCTTTACCGACTCAATGTGTTTACACAAAATCGTCGAAATGATTTCTGGGTCCTTCTAAGAAGCAGCAAAACTAGTCAGCCTTAATGTGGCCTTCTTGTTTGATACGAGGTCTATTCTTGGCGTAGACAGTGTAAAGTTGAGCCATAGCATTCTATAGACCATGCAAGAATGTCTGAACTACAGTGCCAGAACTAATGGCAAGGCTGGCCGTAACACTCCCAGTAGAAGTGCAGGCCTTTTGTCACTTGCACTTGTCTTGTGCAGCGGGAAAAGTTCGCACGGTAGCTACGTGGGTTGTCTGCGCCTGTGGGCGTGACTGATGAGCAGCGGCGTGTTACAACAAACCGCAAAAAGGGTTTTTTGCAGGCATCCCACATTCTACCTCGAGCTTTAAGAGCTTAGGTCCTAATATTTCTTCATTTGACACCTAATGAGATTCTTTGAAATATATATGCCACCACTATAGCTCAAAAGAATTCAGCAGATTTTTTTCTTTCGTATTTTTTGCGAGGGCTATGACTTGCACTTCAAGAAAAGCCACTGTAGGTCGATTTTAGCTTTGAGGCTAACAGCTCTGTCTTTCATAATGTTTGAAAGTTCACCTAATACCTAGTATATATCTTTCTATAGATGTACGTGCCACCTTCTTTTTGATATTTTTATGGTGATCCGTGTAACTGATGAGTAAGACAGCCTAGCTGTACAAGAAATTATCCTATTATCAATCACTAAAAAATCTGTTTCCAAGAGTGTTGGTTCAATTTGTCAATGCTCAGAGATGCCACTGCTGTATGGTTCACCTGCGGCATTTAAAAAATTCAAATATGAGCTTTTGTATTATACTGCCAAGCATGTACCAAGATGTGCCTAAACATTGCCAGCTTCCCTTTTAATTTATAGAACTGCTAGGTGACAGAACAAAACAACGAAAATGTAGTTGCAGACTAACTGCAAGAGTTTATCTGAAAAGCACATATGTGCAACAAACTAAAGCACAAAAAGCATAAAAATTCATCACTTACAATGCCTTGTAATTAAGCAGTATGTATTAAGGGACACTAGAGTGCACACATGCAGCACTCGCTTACGAACTCATGCCACTAAGGTATCAAGCTTCTTTGTCCATAAAGTTGATAAATGGCATGCTAACATAGGGTGTACTTCTCTTGTGAATTATAAATGCCTGAACTGTCTCACGTGTTCAGTAGTTCTTGCGTTGCTTCAGAATTGTTTATTTTTCGAACAGTACCACCATACAGCCGCACGATGTAACATAAAATGCCAGGTCACTGCCTTCTCCTGTTCTCAATTTTCGCATATTCAGTTGGGCTCTGTGGAGAAAAGGACGAGCCGCCGTCTCGTGTCGAAGCCCACAGTTGACCTCTTCTTTTTTCTACGTTCTGATCTGATCTTAACCTTGTGATGATAGTGTCAGTCGTCGTCTTCTACACAATATTCTACACAATATTCAACATCTTCCAGGCCCCAACAGTGGCGAGTGATGACGGAGCAAACTAACACACACAGTTTCTAAGTACACACTTTTTGTTCATGAGTTCTTGTGTTAGGTCCGAGTCAATCCATGCAAGTCAGTTGGGCTCTTCACCAGTACTTGGTCTTCCAGCGGTGCTTCCAACGTTTGTTCCACTCTCGTGCCTTTAAACGTGTTCCCTTTTATGGACTGGTGCGGTCGATGAGCAGTTTTTGTTCACGTGAAATTCGATGATGTTCTGTGTTCCACGAGGGCCAACAGGAGCTATTTCTCGAGTTTTTTTGTTGGTCCTGTCTGCAGTCGCCTTGGTGTCATCGGCCTTCTTCCTTTGCATTAATCTGAGCTTTCCCGCTTTTGACTTTGACGCTGTCTCGGTAATTTTCCTCTTAGATGAAAGAAGGCATATCATCGGCGTTTCCTTCAACCCTGATGTATGCAGATTCCTCGAAGAGCATAGGCTACGATCAGTACAACAGGCTTTCTTCAGTGTCCTCGTGGTCTTCCTTCCGTTTCATTGCGAGTGACTAGCTGGCTTTGTTTTGCTATCTGCAGGCCATTGTACCCATTGCTGTGAAGACTTATTAGGATGGCAACCTGTCATCTTCGGCAGGCACTGATCTCTAAGATTTGGTGGATCGTCTATTTGAAGTTTAAACGCTTTCTGATTTTTTTTTCATACAGGCCTCTCCCACCAGGTACGCCTGAGTAGCTGGTGCTATCGTGTCATTCACTTCACTGGTGCAGCCGGTAGATGAGACTTCTAAAGTCCTGGAAGGGGTCTCTAGCCTCTGAAGTTTTTCTTCGGTGCTGATCTCCGAGATTGCACTTTTTGCAGAGGGAAAGCTTGTCTGACGGTTTTCAGTGTGTTCATCTATTCGCTGTGAAGTCGAGTCCTCAAATGTCTGTACGACAAGATCACCATTGAGGAAGCATTGCCTAGGTCTTAGTGCTATAGATGAGGAGCCTATTTTTTTTTTTTCGCTTCTGTTCTGATCCAGTCTTTTATTGATGCCAGATCAGCTTGCGCAGTTTTTAATGCGTCTTCAATATTGTACTCTGCTCTATTTTTCGCTCGAATAATCTGTTCAACATAATCGTCGCCTTCCTCCATCTCTGCTTGTAAATGATCAATGGGAACTGCATCTTCTATCTCCTTGTCAATTTCTGTGAAATTCCTATACTCATTGGTCAAAATTCTGTGAAAATTCGTCTGCTCACTTATTGGTGGGCCATCCATAAGCAGGAGAGTTTTGACGCTGGCGGTGGTTTTCATGACGGTCTTTCGTACATGACTATGCCTTTCGATCAGGGCCTCCTCAATCCAGTCCACTGTCAGGAAACGTAGAAAATGAGTGGCCGGCTATGCCACGAAGTGAAGAAGGGGTCACAGTGCTATCCGTCACAAAGCATCGCATGATGAAGCTCCGGGCGTTATTGGAGGGCGATCCATATGCAGGAGACTTTCAATGCTGGCGATGGCTTCCATGACGTTCTTTTGTACGTGACTACACCTTCGAGTAGGGCCTCCATAATTCCGTCTAGTGTCAGGAAAAGTAGAAAATCACTGGCTGGCTATGCCACGCATTGAAGAAGGCGTCACCGTGCTATATGTCACAAAGCATCGCATGATGTAACACCGGGCGTCGTCAACATGTTACGCTCCACGATCCGGGTCACGAGCAGCGTTAGGCCTCGAACATGAGATTAATCCACCGGCGGCTTCAACAAAAGTCTTCTTGGCTACAGATGTGGTGGAGAAGTCATGAAAGTCCACCCTGTCTACCTCTATAGGCCTTTACTCACAGGTTTTACGGCACCAAAATGTTGAGAAAAGGATGAGCCGGAGTCCCCATGGCGAAGCCCACCGTTGACCTCTTCTTTATTTCTTGCTCTCATTTGATCTTATCCTAAATATGATAGTGTCACTCGTCGTCTTCTGCACAATATTTAACATCCTCCGCACCCCGACAGTAGCGAGTGATGATGGAGAACATTAATGCACTCAGTTTCTAAGTACACACCTTTTGTTCATGAGTACGTGTAGAAGGTCCCAGTCAATCCATGTAGGTCAGTGGGACTCTTCACCAGTGCTTGGTCTTCCAGCGGTGCTTCAGACGTTTGTTCCACTCCCAGGCGTGTTCCCCTTGAGGGACTGGTGCGGTCGATGAGCAGTTTTTGTTTATGTGAAAATTAATGTTCTGTGTTCCATGAGGGTCTGCAGGAGCTATTTCTGAGAAGTTCTCTTGAGTTTTTTCGTTGGTCCTGTCTGCATTCGCCTTGGTATCATCATCCTCCTTCCTTTGCATTAATCTGAGCTTTCCCGTTTTTTACTTTGACGCTGTCTCGGTAATTTTCCTCTTAGACGAAAGAATACATATGATCTGCATTTCCTTCAACCCTGACGTGTGCAGATTTCTCGGAAGAGCATCGGCTACGATCAGTATGACGAGTTTTTTTCAGCATCCTCGTAGTCTTCCTTCTGTTTCTTTTCGAGTGACTGGCTGGCTTTGTTTTGCAATCTGCAGGCCATTGTACGCATTGCTGTGAATACTTATTAGGATGGCGACCTGTCGTCTTCGGCGAGCACTCATCTTCAAGATCTGGTGGATTGTCTATTAGAAGTTCAATGTCGAAGGCCACCATCGACCTCCTCTTTTTTCTGCGTTCTGATCTGATCTTAAACTAATGATGATAATGTCACTCGTCGTTTTCTACACGATATTCGATGGGCCCCTTTGTAAGGGACACTGATCTGAAGAAACACTTAAGGTATAAGAGACACCACCGTGCCTACCCTAAAGTAAGGTTTGAGCTCGAAGCATGGCACCCTGCTTTTAAGAGACACCTCATGTAAAAAATAAGAAAGGCTTCTAGGTTCATGTTTCTTATAAAGAGCTTGAATTGTATATGTAGTTCCAGAGAAATCTTGTGCTATTATGTGCCAGCAGTTGCGCACTGTCCTGTTTACTTACACTTACAACAAAATGTACCAACAAGCTTAACTTTCAAGCTTCTGGTGATATGAGTGCGAGTTAACATTCAGTGCATAAATCAGCAGTGTTTATTGCCCAGCTAATTTACTCATTGTTTGATGAAAATAGCTATAAAGGACAGGGACAAAGTGAGCCCATGAACTGACAAACAAGTCTTTTCCTCTGGATCGTCCTTTGAGCGCCATACCTATTTTTCTCGAGAGTAATCCAAACTTTGAAATCAATAGCACAACTCTAATTAGTTGCACCTGGTTCTTGCGGTAAGTTTTGTTGGTGATTTGCGAGGCCTCCCTATCGCCTTGCTGCGCAGTGGGGAAGAGGTGCTCAACTGGCTCTTTGAAGTGGAGGAAGGGCTGGGCCACGAAGACGGGGGCCAGGTGACCTGGCAGCTGCGCTACCTAGACCTGCCCGGCGTGGACAGTACAGCCACCGTGAGCAGCACCGTCAGCGAGGTCGATGACAGCATCAAGCTCACCTCCCGGTTGGACATCCATAAGGACGACGTCCAGGCTGTCCTCCTCGTCGCCAAGGTACTTGCTCTCTTTCCATTTTTTTTATTGTGCGCGTGTCAAGCCCCGTCCAGACAGCACCAAATGAAGTTGGGTCTCGGTGAGCGAGACTTAATTGCGTAGTGTACGTCATCACCATCGTCAGCCTGACTACGCCTACTGCAGGGCAACAACCTCTCCCATGTTTCATCAATAAACCCAGTCCTGTGCTGCAGCCGCATTATACCTGGAAACTTTTAAATCTCATCTGCCCACCTAATTTTATGCCTCCCCTTCTTGCATTTGCCTTCTCTTAGAATACAGTCTGTTAATCTTAATGACTAGCTGTTAAATTGCCTCCATGCTACATGGCCTGCCCATGCACATTTTTTTTGGTTTTGACTGAGATCTCCTTGACACTGCTTGTTCCCTGACCAACTCTGCTCACTTCTTGTCTCTCAAACATTGCACATGACCTATGATTAATTTTCTCTTAGGTTTCTATTTGTACCGTCAACAATATCAGCTATGGTTGTAATGCACTGTCAGAAATCATTCAGCTAAAATCAAAATATTTCTTCTGGCATCCGCTTCAAAGCTTGCTTTTCTAGGAAAATGAATAAATATGTGGAAATGATCTGTGTGCAGATATTATGAGATGTTTTCATTTCGTCATAAAGCTTCCTGACTTGGGGGGGTTTCTACAGGACCCATTTGATTCTATATCTGCCATGGCGGCTTAGCATACTATGGCGTGCTTCATAATAAGATCATGTGTCTGACATCTAATGCCTCATTATCTCACTGTTCTTTTTGATCATTCACCATTCATTGCTAAATGACTCTAATGATTGCACAAGGAGTATTCCATTCAGATCATTGATAAAAAGGAAATAGTGACATTGAAATGAGCTGTTCACACATTCACAGTTTTGGGAATACTTCTCATAGAGTCTGTACAGAATTGCTAAATGGAGCTCGCTGAATTGTTTGCAGTCGAATCAGCTGCTAAACACAGCAGTGCTGACTGGCAAACAAGTGTCACAGCCCATGAAGGTGTTCGTGGTGAGCCAGTCTGGACTTCTGGGGGACGTCACGCTGCAGTCCTCCTGCCACTCAGCTGACGAGTCGGTTCTCAAGGTGAATTATTACGACAATCACACTATTGGGGATGGATAGAGTTCATTGGACTTTACTTCATTGTATAGGATGCGTCTCCTTATAATCAAGTGATGCAAGTTTCTTAATAAACGAGCAGTTTTTGTACTTACGGGTGCCTTCTGATACTACATCACAGTAATACTGTGCCTTGTACCGATAGCAGTCACATCGCACACAAAAAATTTTGTACTGCTCTATATTAACTTCAAATGTACTTTTCAATCCCGATATATTAAACTAGGATTGCAAAATAGTGCTTTTTTATATAGATATCTGAAGCCTATACACGAAACCACACGTCATCACCAGTCTATTGAGATCATGAAAAGTGGGAAACTTACCAGTTTGTTATTCAAATAAGTGAAAGATGTCAAATTTCATGTAATATTAATTTTCCACCTATGCCTTATGTATTGCATGTATTTAAGGCCTTTCATATTCTTAAAGCTACGTGGCAGTCATCTTTTTGGTAACAGACAGCCACAGGTGAGTGCTCTTCACTGCACAGCACTGAGTTCTCTCCAGTATTAGTAGCGTCTATCACCGCATGTTGTGTTGTGGTGTAGTATTTGTGTTGCGGTGGAACATCCCTAAGCACACTCGTCATGAAGCACAAATACAATCCTTACAGCACGAGGTTGTTTTGTAGGCTGTGCAACAAGATGACTACTGTTAACTCGTGTCGATATGATTCTGCAGAGTGTGTTTTTCAGCCTAACGTGTGTTTCTTTTAGCTCCCAGCCAACCTTTTGGTTAATACGATTCTTGCATATAATATGCTTCATTCTTTAGTTTCCTTGGAAAACATTTCAAGAAGGTTCCGTTGTAGTGGCCTTGCACAACTTCTGCAGTTGTTTCGCGTTGTTCAGGTGTTTCTTCACCACTTGTTACTGTTGCGAAGCCATTGCAGAAGTGCAACAAAAAAAATTTTATTGTTAGCAGATCCGATTTAACCCGATAAGACCGCCAATATAGCAAAGCTTGTATCCGTGTTCAGTGTTGTAACAGCATGCATGCAAGCACGATTTTAACTGAAGCAAACGCACATAGTACTCTTGCGCACAGTGAGGCTGTAGTGTAATGAAGCGAATTTATCTTAAAAGCCTGTGCATAGTCCGAGGCCGTTTTCCAAGTATGGCGATGTGAAAGTTCTGCCCTATTTTACCATATGTTGATTTCAACCAGTTTGCAGCCCAGGTTCACCAATCTGGTTTGGAATTTCTTGGTAGTATCATGATCATCAGATATCTGCGCTCTTATCGATTGCCATTGTGGCCTGGCTGACTTGACAAGCACTGTAGCCGACAGCTTTGCACCAGGTTGGCATGGCAAAAAGTAGTACTCGGCCATGTCCAAAATAAATGTGATTGCTGGCATCATTGGCAGCTGTGTTGCAGAGCAGCAGTTCTGTGGGAACTATTGTAGCATTTGCAGTTGGAAAAAGCGGAGGAAAGCCCCTCTTTGCTTGCACTGGCCTAAGTAGTAGCTTTGGGAAGCCTAAGAATGCAGTGCTTATCGAATTTCAACATGACCTAACAAACTTCATTCGAGAGCAATGAGCCACTAATTTTTGTGTCATCTCTGTGCTACTCCATGCAAGGGCAAGAGAAATAGAAAGAGAGAAGGGCATTCAGCAGACAGACTTTGAGTACTTGGTGTCACATCTTATGATCAGCCCTGTTTTTTTTTTTAATGCCTACACTCATCGATTTGACGGAGGCTGCCAGAGAGCTACTAAGTGTTTCTGTGGCAACATGTGCTTTTGCTGCGAAAATCAGTGAACTTTCAGTCGGTCGGATCGGCAATTCGAATCAAACACCAGCATATACGAACACAGCTTCAGCCCTAATTGTGCAATAAACACGATCTTGTCAAGATTCTGTGAAATCCAGTGAAAATGGGGAAAATGCAGGTCCCCGTAGTACTGTGCTGCGCTGCCGACAGTCACAAGACACCACCCTACTTTCCAGTGAACCGCAAATATTGTGTAGACATGCATGGTATGTTTCTCATGAACATTGTAAATGTCTTTTAGATATCCATAGAAATCCAAATTACAAAGATTAAATGTACCTGCTACTACGAACAGCTCGGCCGAGTATGGTTGCAGTTGCACTGAATGGACATTCAATATATATTCGTAGACATTATTATTTACTAAATAAAAAGTTTTTTCATGCACTTGGCACACTTACTGCATGAAGTTGGTGTGTTGCACTTGCGGTTCCATGGCGGTCTTGCTCATTGTCGCTCAGCTGTACTTTATAGAAAGCATCCAAGGTGTGAGGCTGGCCGGATTGATTGATATGTGGGGTTTAACATCCCAAAATCACCACATGATTAGGAGACGCACCGTAGTAGAGGGCTCCGGAAATTTCGACCACATGGGGTTCTTTAACGTGCACTCGAGTCTAAGAAGCACACGGGCTTACAGCATTTTTGCCTCCATTGAAAATACAACCGCTGCAGCCGGAATTCTAACCCGCGACCTGCGGGTCAGCAGCCGAGTACCTTAACCACGAGACCACTGCGGCGGGGTGAGGCTTGCCGGATTGCTGTCAGACTACAAATTTAAGCCCGGCCATGAAGGTGTATAAGTATAGCACACCAGCTAAGAGCCAGACCGCAGTGGGAGCGCAGGTCTCTAGCACATGCAGTAAGCCTGAAGAAAGTGCGAAGCTGGAAAGTCTCCTTTATTTCTCTTGAGCTTTCTTTCCTCCTCTCTCTTTTTTTTGTTTTGCAGTTTTTTCTGTCTTTATTTCTCCTCTATTTTTTCATCTATTTCCCTTGCCTTTTCTATTCGTCTTCCTATTTCTTCCTTCTCCATTTTTTCTATTTCTCGCTTCGTCTTTTCTATTTTTTATGGGGTTTTGCTTGCATTACGCCAAGCGATGACAGCCCAGGTCCATAAGGTGCGTCACACTTAAAAGCACCTTCGGGTTGCATGATTTCGTGCTATCATGTATGGCAGCACTAATGCCACACATGGTAATTTTATGGTTGTTCGCACGCCTAAACTCCTCGTGCGTGTAAGTGTATGCATTACGCATGCTCAAACATTACATGACCATTTATATTCGAGCACTTTCTAGATATTACGTGGCAGTATATATTTATCATTCTAAATGTCAAATAAAGTGGTTGTGGAAGACAGAAAGTTCTGCGATGCAGTTGATGTTATGAGCACGTGTACGCGACATCATTTGCGACGTCTAGTTTTTGTCTAAAATAAAAGTGCATAGGACGTTAAATATACGTAGGCTCTTTAGAGTGTAAGTATGGCACCTTATGGAGATGTCAATTAGATGTTATTGATAGGGGTTGACAGGATATCAGTGGTTCACTGGGTTAGTATGAAAATACCCGCGGAAAAGAGACACGTTTCCAAAATATGTTGCTGTTCATTATCGGAAGAAAGGGTGGATGGTCAAGGAATTGGTGCTTGACTGCATTAAGTTTATCTGGTGTTGACAGCCTCAAGCACTCCTAGGGCTCCCATTGATACTTGTTCGAGACCCTGTCCAGCGTCACCTGGCTGAGTTGGTGAAGCAACTGCTGTGCAAGCCATGCACCGAGCATTTTTTCACCCTTGTAGTGATGCTATTGGAGTTTCGGCAGCTTAATGTGTATGTGACGATAGAAGGGTACCAGTTCAAGAGAATTAGACAATGAAAAAGCGCGTGTACTTTGGAATTGAAGTATGGTGTATGAACCCCTGTACGACCCTCATTTCTAGCCTGACACGAGTCAACAGCATGATGACCTGACAGTTTGTTCATCAGACACACATCATTAGCAAAGCTCTCCTCAGGACACTAGACTGTAGATGAGCTACAAATTGTGTGCTTTCAAATCATGAAGTCTGCAGAGCTTGAAGTGACTGGAGTTAAGTAGCTGAAACAGACCTCTCCAGCAGTGCTCTGATCCTGGTTCACTGATTCTTGGACCTATTTTCCCAAGAAGTTTTTCTGTCACGCATTCAAGAAGTGTCACTGTTGAATGTACTTGATGGCAAAGAAAAATTTCTATGAGAGGACATGTCAGCCAATAGACTTTTGCAACAAAATTGTAATGGATGACAGTGACTTAAGGGGAGATGCGGGTCGAAGACACTTTTTTTTTTAATATTCATTCGAGAGCAATGAAACTTGAGGTGCTTATAGAACTTTTTATGCTGATTTAGAATATATAATGAGTTGTCTTGCAAGTTGCATACTTTTAGTTTTGCAACATGACAAAGTGAAAAACTTAAGCCCTTTGCCCCCCCTCTTTTCATACCTACACTTCATTAATTTTTTACAATTGATAGTTCATAATGTTTCAAATGAAGTGTGGAATGCAAACAACTAATTTGGAAGTCCATACAAAATATGTACCAGACGTGAAAAATTTTAACGTGGGAAGTTCATATTTCTCCTACCCTAGTAAAAGTTTACATAACTTTTTTTTATTATATAAAAAGGATATTGAAACTTAAACAAGATAATTGCATTTCTCGTACTTTGGAAAAAATTTGGGAAAAATTTCATGCAGATCTGAGCACCAGAAGTACCCGAAAAAGGAGGGGCACATTGACAAAAATGGCAAAATTTGTGTTTTGAGAAAAAGAAGTTTTAAAGTCAAAATTGCATGTTTATTTATCAAAGATGTCATTGAATGCGACGAAATTTGTACACAAGAAAGAAAAATCCTCCTTGTAGTGACCACTGCCATTAAAATGCGCCAGCACCATAGGTTTGGCCCTCATGGATCTTTCACGTTGACAGCGTAGCTATCGCGCGAGCTCCCGCTGTCGTATGTTCTCCTCGCGGTCAGTCCGTCACCCGCCACGCTCACGCTGGCCTCCCCGCCTGAAGCTACTCGCCACGAAGTATATGTCGCCGAAAGAATAGTCTCGGGGCACTCACTGTTTGGGCAGTGGAGTTCGACGAACGACGCAAGTCCTTTCCGCTTGTCGGCCGGTTCCCGGACACGTAATC